ACAAAACATTCGACTACGGGCCTTACCCCAAGACAAATTATATTTGGCACCTCTACGTCATTGGATATAAATGACATTAACATGACGAAACAACAAGTAATTATGACGGCCAAAGACAACATTTCTTACGAGGCCAATAGACACAACGCTAAATTGAAATTAGGCAATAAGAGTTACGAAAACATTAGATGTAAGGAAATATTAGTCAAAACAAAGGCGAAACCATCGCCTTACCACGACCGCTACAGAATGATTGAAATCCGGGCACAAGACAGAAAAACCATTACAGACCCATCTAATATAAAAATACACGAGAAAAACATAAAAAGACCGACAGAATAACAAGACTCCCTCACCCAACTTTCCTTCCAGACTATGCTTACTTATAACAGGAGGAATGACAGACGTACACATACACGAACTAAGCCACAACCCAGTAGCAGTAATACCGTTAGGACAAGCTAGGATTAGTAGTAGTTATGTCAGAATTTTACATAAAGTTGATATGCAAGAGATAGAAAAAGTTATAGACTATATAGGCATAGCAGTCACAGAAAAAGTAACCGATAACAAAATACTTGGACCCTTAATTAAAGCAAAACAAGAAAAAATGGGTAATACTTACAAGAAACTTAAACACTTGGACGTTAAAAGACAAAAAAGATGGAACAGCTTAGGAACAGCGTGGAAATACATTTCTGGAATCCCAGATGCAGACGATTCTAAAAATTATAAATACCACTTCTAATCTGTTAATTGATCAAAATGATAAACAAATCCAAATAAACCAGGAATTCGAAGATAGGATAGCAAACTTAACAAAAAGCATATCAATATTAGTATCTGATCAAAATTTAATAGCAAAGGAAATAATGGATGGATTCGATTCAGTAAACTTGTTATTCCACATAGACGAATTGATTAATCAGTTAGAAATTATTGAAGAAGCAATCACCTTAGCTAGATTCAGCATCCCAAACAGCCGACTCATAACCAACGAAGAACTTCAAGCAGCACAACAATTCATAACCGACAATGGCCTCCAGATGGACCCTCTCGACAACGTTTTGGATATAGCCAGCGCATACGTCATGCACAAGCACAACAGAAATTCCATAGTTTACGCCTTGAAAATTCCGCGAATTAAAGATGTCAACTATGAACTAAATTACATCCAACCAATAGTTAATAATGGTTCACGAATATACCTTCATTCAAATTATGTTCTAACAGGACCAAAATCATGGTACGTCAAAACACAGTGTCCAAAGATACGAAATTTCTACATCTGCAATAACCCACAACTGGAAGCACTAGAAGAATGTGCCCAGCAACTGTTAAATGGAAATTCAGCAACGTGCCCTATGGAAAGGGGTATACGGAAACGATATTATAAAGAAGGTTAATGAATTTAATATCGTTGTAAGCAATGCAAATTTGACAATGTCATCAAACTGTTTGGCTCATCGTAAGCAACTCTTTGGATCGTTCCTCATACAATTTGCAAACTGCTCTATAAAACTAAATGGAGAGGAGTTTTCCAACTGGGACACCAGCATACCAGCCAGGTCATTTATTCCAACTATTGGATTGAAGGTAAATTCATCAAAGACAATAGATCGTATTCCTTTAGAATACTTACAGATGTACTACGTCGATCACCGGGAGCATATAAAAAAAGCTCAACCTGACAACATCAAGTTTACAAGGCAACTTGGGAACGTTGAAGTGGCTATCGATTGGATCATTCTCAATAACCACACCAATCGTTTTCGGAGCTATATTCGGCAGAAATAGAAGCAACCCACCAGAGGAGGCGAACGTACAGGCGGAACAGGAAAAGGAACGCAGCTCTACTTCACCCCCCAGGCGACCGAGGTTAATTCCACAGTAGAAGAGGACCCCCAAAGACCCAGGACATAGCAGCAGAGGATCGTGAAAGCCGAGGACGGCTTTCCAGTCGACGGGGAGTAGTTAGGAAAATCCTGTTAGTTGGATTAGCCAATAGCAGCAGTTGGCGCGCAATCCAGGTGCATCACGCCATGGATTGCGCCAATAGGAAGCCGGTAGGGTAGAACAGCCTAGTAAGCACTTTAAGTGCATAAATAGGTAGTGAGCAGGTGGTTCGCTCTCTTTCATCATCGAACAGTTTGTGTACTCGGTTTAGTTTCTAAGTGAATAAAGTGTGTTAAGTGAAGTTTTAGCTTTTTAAAAACCTAAAACGTAACGAACGATCCTTAACTCAGCAATGTTGTATACAAGCTTGTAAACAATTTCGTTGTTTATGCGAACTATAGATCGAAATTCAACGAGAGTTGATTTTACGTGACAGTTAAAATCCAGATTTTATAGCTATTATAGCTGATGATTGTATTATTTGATTATATACGGTGTTGAGCACAATTTATTACCATAGCTTTTATGTCGATTTTTCCTTTTAATTCTACTATTTTCGACGTAAAAGGTTTACAATTATTCTACTAAAATGCTCATCAATCAATTTAGAATACAATTTTTTTAATTTATTTAAAAATCCTTACATGCATTTGATTTACATTTGATGGGATATCCGGACTGATTTGAGATTCAAGCGTAACTGTTTTTGTAAACAAAGACTTCAATCCCCGATTTCTACCGAATGAAAGCTCAATATCGCAAACTAACAACACACTGAGGAAGAGGAGTGATTTCTCTAGCAGTAGGTTTATTATTTTATTTTTTGCAAAATCAAGCTTTTATTCGCTAGAAATCGGTAATTAATCCATTGTTTACAAAAATGTGTACGCCAACCTCTCAAATCAGTCTCAAATCTCTTTCGGATATTTTCACCCATATCCTCGTTTTTGTTTGAACCGTATTCTGCCCATAATCGCAAGTTAGTCTCATCTGTTAAAAAAAAAACTGTAAATGAGAAAAAGGCGTTCAAAGATTTTACAAGTTGTCTGATTTGTTGACATTTATTTTGGAGAGAAAAATTTAAAAATAAACGTACAATGTGATAGAATGCATCTATGTTCACCATAAAATATTGAAAAAATATCGGGACTGACTTAGGATAACATCCCAAGTAACATTTTAAGTTTTATGAAATACTACAAAGCAACTATAAAACAACATTCATAAAACCCTGGTCAAGGCTATCTTGTCATTAATGCATCCACCAAAACCTCATTAAGACTAGAATATGTCTAGTTGGCCCACCCTGAAGAAGGTTCTGAAGGATGTATTCTCGAAGCTCTTCAAGATTGATTTACTGCAAAAGGTTGTATGACGAACGCATTGAGAACCATTTGAAAACTACAACAAAAGCTATTTAGCAACAATAAAAACCCTTTCCGAGCCATTTCCCCTAGCCGCTTACTAAATCCACTAGGAAAGCATCAATCAAGATAGAAAAGGATTTATGAATCCGATCTTATCAAAATAATTAAAATAGAAACTGATGGTATAAAAATTGTATAGAATATCCAAATTTATTACAATAGTTCTCATTATGTGGCCTAGCTTTAAGTGCCTTATTAAATGTCATGTGAAGTGTGCATGAAAACATCGAAAAAAATAGGTGCGCTCTCGTAAAACGTCGGTTTGACTAATTATTTTACATTGAATAAAATAAATTATTTTTCAGATCGAGCTTGGCCGAGAATATTTTTTTATGATTTTCGCATTTAAATGTTTGCTCATTGCAAAATTTACCAAAATATAGTTATATCCAAGAAAATATAGATAGAAAATCGAAGATTGTAAAAAAACAAGCAAACTAATTGCAACATGGCGGTGGCATAAAAGTTGATTTTCATGGGTCATTTGTGAAAAAGTTGTTTTGCTTTTAAGAAATCCATAACAAAATCCTTAGGTTATAAAATGGCTTTTATGAAGAAAACTTGCAGGCTGAATTGTATTTATCTAAAGCCATTTTGCTTGATCTTAACCCGTTCAGATTTATGTCAGCATTTATGGAGGCAAAGTTGCCTGCAAAAGTTAAACGTCAAAGTTTGTTTATCTTTCGATAGTTGCGCTGTTAGATTCAGCGTTCTTCCAGGAGATTATCTCCCGATGGCTTGGAAGCAGTTACTAAGAATGTGTTCACAACATTTCGCACAGCTGTAACCTCGATAATTCCCGAAAAGATCCCCTTCTTCCTGATGGTTCTGGAAGTGCACCATCAAACGATGCAGAAATGTACAGTTGAATTAATTTTTTCCAAGTGATGACCCTTTCACCGAATAAAATCGCAGCTATGGATCGGAAACCAACTAGTGTCCGCTAACTGACAGTTTCAGTGGTTTGCTGTCGGTACTGACACAAGTTATTCCGATCTTCATCTATTCGCAAGGTCTGGAGAAGGCTGGTCTGTTTTCAGGCTGTTTTGACAATGTTTTATGAATTTGAGGACCACGCTCACTTCTCTCTTCTCCACCAGATGCTCAGTCGTTGATTGTACCCGTTCCGCCGGACGTGCTAGTTCTGAAATCGACCTCCCTTCGGTCGTTAGCATCGCTTGAATTTTTCTTCCAACTTCGTTTATCCTTCGATATATCCTTGTCATAAATTTGGTTTTTATTCACTGTGAGGATCCATCCTTAAAATTCAATTTGTAAACAGAGGAGATTTTATGATACACTTATAAAAGCCTAAAAGGCAACAATATATGCCATTTGCTCTCATTTAAAACTTAATGGTTTTATGATTGCTTTTATAATGATGGAACAGGTTTATAGAGTATTTTATCAAGACATTAATAAAAAATTGCTAATAAAGTTTATGATTGATTTATAGAACAGTTTTATAGTGGGATTGAGAACAACTTTAAATTTAATTTTAAAACAAGACAGTTTTTGACTTCTCGACAGACTGTAAAAGGTTTTTAAAACAGCGAAAAGGTGAACTACTAAGCAGGAACGTGTTACACTGCGAAATGCTGTATTTAAACTAAATGGATTATTCATTGCCATTATAAAACCTCCATAAATCAGAGTGGATACCAAATGATTGCAGAATTGTTACTTGGGATTTAACGTCAATGAGAAAAATAACCGCAAGTCAGTCACAATTCCATGACGATGCATTAGTTTAGCACAGTATTGAACAGTAGAAAGATGCCATGGTCCCATAGAGCGTTATTGAATGTTTCTGAATTTGTTTCGCTGGTTCCAGAGCAATGACCGGAACATATTCCGGTGAGTATGGGTCTTCATCAGACCAGAGCTTTTCATAAACGTGCCAAACCCACCATGCGATAAATCAATTCACATGAGAATTCAAAAATAAGATCAATAAGAGTCATGATGAGTGACCAGCACCATGTTGGCCACACCCGGACATGTTCCAGATACCCTAGGGGAAGTGGACAAAATCTATCTTGAGACAAATCTCATGATGCGATGTGTCGTCTAACATTTCTAACATATTTTTTTTTAATGGGACTGACTTGCGGAACACAGAAAGATTAACTGAATAATGATGCTAACTCAAAATTTATAAAAATGCAGATGGGACTGACTTGCGATTACTCTCAGTATTTTTCAACCCAAAACATTTTTTTGTATGTAAAAACGGTTCGAACAAAAACGTGAATATGGGTGATTGATTTAAGTTTGATTTGAACCAAATGTTGATCAGTAATTGAAAAATTAAACAAAACACAATGGTGTCATCTCCTTGACGCAGCCTCATTTCAGTCGGACATTCATTTTTCGATTGAATAACTTACAAATACGTCATTTTTTTCAGTCCTATCAAACCAATTTTCCTCCTCCTAATTCTACATTTTCAGTACCTACAATCAAAGTCTCCAGAACAAGTTAAAACACACACAAAAATAAAACATCCTAATCCGGAAACCGTTAACCACCACTCAACGTGTCAGTGTTTATCGCTGACTCTGCAGTGCCACCGCCGCATCGTCGTAGTCCACCTCGGTTTCCTCGAGCTTGGCCGCACCGCTGCAGATTCGGCACTTGCAGCACACGATGCAGGGCGCCGCCAGGAGCAGCAGCGGAGAAGCCACCAACAGCAGTATTCCGAACCCGGCAAAGATGCCAATCACCTGCGCCCGGTGCCACACGACGGATGCCCGCGAGTGGCCCAGTTTGTTCTTGCAGGGACCCTTGTCGTAGTGCCGCAGCAGAAAGTCGTCCTGAAGATGAAACGTATGAAAATCAGTTATCTCAACATGACAATTGCACCGCGGCACTCACATCTAAACTAGCCAAACAGTACCAGCAGAAGACGTGCTTGCACCGCTTGCACATCATCTGCGCACAGCCTTCGTCCTTCTCGATGGGCACGGCGCACATCGGACAGCATTTGATGAGATCATTGTCGAAGGGAATGCCGAGGGCATCCGTTTGGCCGTCGGCCGCCAACCGACGGGTGTTCTCCTCGCAGGACATCGTTGGGTGCCACTGAAAAAAAAAAAAACGAAACGTTATGAAAACTTGCCCAATGGTTGGAACGGTTGAACTTACAGGCTTCTTGCAGCCGGAGCAGAAATCCTCCAGGCAGGTCGGACAGTGCACGGCACATGGCGACGGGAGACTCGATGAGGGCGCCGGCAGCTGAACTATTCTATCGGAAGACGAATTACTGTTCGGTTGGGACTGGGTCGGCTGGTTCTGGCCGACCAGGCAGATCGTTTCGCAGCCCGCCCTCGGGCACCAGGTGCGGAACTTGTCCAGTTCTACTTCTGCAAGGTGGGGGAAGAGACAGAAAAAGGGGTTTAGTGAATTTAGTGAAGTTTGCATGTTGGTATATCATGAATCTCTAGGGTTCGTTTTGCCCCTTGTAGCACCTAGCAAGGGAAACAAACTATTTTATTAAAGAGATTGTCAGCCGTAGGCTGGTTCATCTTTGTAGCAAATAGCAAGGTGAGCAAGGTATCATGACAAAAATAAATTTAATTCCATAAACCTACACAAACCAGTTGCTGAAATCCCATACCTTCCGATTCAACTCTTCAAGCTATGCCGTGCGGCTATTCTAAATTGCAAAGCTGTGTATCGTTTATAAAACCCATTTGGAAGAATAACAAAATAACCGGCGAGCATCTCATCCTCCTTTCAAACACCCAGATTTAATGATATTCCAACATCAGCTCGACAGCTTCCATGCCTTCCTTTTTCCTCTCATTCAGCAACCAACCACGGTATTCTCGCATATACCTACTCTCACATGAATATAAAATGAGTTTGGGACGTTTGCTTATGTTTACAAAAGTTTACACGCGAAACCGAAACACCGACGGCAGATTGAAATGCCGAAGGGTAAAATTTCACGAAATGAGTTCACGTCAACGTGCTGCTGCCTACCTTACAGGGGCACAAGGCCACGCTGCTGTGTTGGGTATTGTATGAATTATTATTAGAGGAATCGTGTCGTATGTCAAGGTCAGATTGCCACTAATGTAGTCATATCGTTTTTTTTACATGTGCTCAAACTAGGCCAATGACCTCTTTAAAAAGGGCACTATAGGGCATTTTCATACAACCAGGCGGTCAAAAATATTTCTACCATTTTTTCACAATTTCTGCTATTATTCTTGCTTTGTTTCATCAATATAAGGTGTGCGTTATCACTTTTCAACATTTTCACGATCAACTTTTGAAAAGGGCCCAACTTTTGATTAATTAAAATTTAATTTTTACGATTTTATAACGGTTACAGTTTCAAGCTTGTTTTCAGAGAATAAAATCAATTGAACAAAGACAACCTACCATGGTTTTATTGGGGGGAACACCGTAAAAAATAAAAATAAAAAACCTTTTTTTTGGAAATATGTTTATTTTTTTTCAACAAATCTTCTGTAAAAAAATACAAAAAGCCATGATACAATAATCAAAATCAAATATGTTTCAACGAATTTCTTTTTATTCCTCTGTTACAATATCATCATGAACAAATTCTTCTTCAATTTCATCGACTGCTTTCATAAGTTCCTCCAAGGCATTGAAGTTATTAGTATCGAATACTGAATCACTTACAGAATTTTCAAATATCATGAAACTTTTCACGATGTCGGGATAATCCAGGGATACTTTTTTCTGTCGTCTTTTTGCCATCCAAATGGAACTGATCAGTGGGTCCGATTCATTAATGGCACGAATAAAGACATCATGTAAATTTTCTACTCTTGATCGTTTTCTTGCATGATGGGTTCGATATTTTTTCAATTGTTTATGTTGACTTTCTGCTGCCTCTTCCGCTAATGAACCAAGTGGTGCTGGTGAATGTATGATTATTTCTCCGGCATGAGCGAGAACTTTATGCACGATTGCAGGAATTTTGTACCAATCATACAATTTAAGATAGAGCCTATATGTTTCCTTGCAATATGCATCAAATTTTTCCGGGTTTATTGGCTCTTGGCAGTTAATAGCAATTAATATATTCCGGAATCTGAAAATTAACTCTTCATCAATGTTCAGCACGGAGCTTAAAAGCTTGGGATTTCCAAATGCTCTTCGACAAACGTTTCCTGTAGTACTGGTACCTGCTCCACCCGATCGTGGTTGATCTACTCTTACTCCAAATGTTTCGTAAAGCTGTGTCGTCACATGTTTTTTTCTTTGTTCATATAGTTCTTTGAACGGTTTCGTTACCTTCCATATTTTGATATCCATTCTGTATGCAATGTGCAAAAGGCATTCGAAAAATCTTATCCAAGCATGAAGTGGAGATATGCCATAATGCAAGGCTTCTTCGTTTGATATAAATCCTTCCTCGAATTTCTCTGCATCATTCATTACATTTGGTGTTGCCCATATATTGGACAATTCTGCATCGACGAATTTCCACTGATATAAGTTAAGACTTTTCCGTCTATCATACTGAGGACAAAATCAAAATCAACAAGTATAAACTTGTCGTTTGAGAGCTCAATTTTCACTGGCGTTAGTTCACTCATTTCTTTTTCTACATCCTGTTTTGTAGCCAGAATAACTTCTTTACTCTCTTTAATGAATTCAAGGATGAATGGCCTACAAAATCGAATACTTTGAGGCATGGGATTAAATCACATAATTTCCCTTCCATTAATGTACATGAACAACTGAATTGGTGTTAAAGTGGACGAAAATACATCTAAATCGTCCTGACATCCTTCTGGTAGCACTTGATGATATTGCGAATATCCAGTTGATCCGTCCATACCCCAGCTACATAGAAGAACCAGTTCCGTAGAAACTAGATCATTGCTATCTATATACTCGTTGAGCTCTGCATCAATTATTTGGACGATTCGTTTCACTGTATTTTCCATCAGCGCCTGGAGTTTCACTCTTATTTTCAATGCACTTTCTTCGATGAATTCACTAGAAGGGGCGCATATTTTTTTCACTGCTCCGATCACATAGTAAGGTGGAAATCTTGTAGGTGATTCACTATGTATTACTTCGTATTGAAATCTACTCAATCCAGCCTCGATAAGTACACTAAAAGCCTCTTCTGGTGACATCATTCCTCGTTGATCAGTTAGTTGAGCCAGCATGGTTTTAGAGCTTTTTTGGTTTTTAAAATATGCCCAATAACTTTAACTAAATTAAAATCCTTTCGATTATAACAAATAACAAAGCTTTCTCGATGGTATCGAATTTTGGATCAACTGCTTCTTTATCGATGACGCGACGTTTTCCTCTTTCACTCAAATCCAAGAAAGGTTTTGAAGGTCGTCCACGTTTTGTTCCCGAGGCCGAGGTTGAGGCAACACATTGCTCCTGTTCGATGAATTCCTCGATGCCAAATTCTCCATCAAGCCAATTCCGAAAATACGACTCAAATCGCTCTTTCCGATTAGCTTCATGCCATTTGTTGATGTATTTAGTAACGATTTTATGGATCTTATCATCGAGACGTTTACGTTTTTCCACCGAGATGTTATAATTTTCACAAATTAATTCAATGGCTCTGTGAAAATTGTCACTATGGCTTAATTTTGCGTCTAATAGATTAATAATGGTTCTATTATCCATGCTCACACTTGGTCTCAACCAGGGATGGAAAATCATTTACATTCATTTCGTGCATTCATTTACATTCATTTGTCTCTAACTTTTTTCATCAACAGAATACTGTTAAATGATGTATGAAACTTTTGTAGCTTTTGATATTAACTACAACTTTTGTTCATAATTTAAATCTTAATCTCTTATGCATGATGAAATAGAGCTGACAGAACATGTTATTGTTTTTCAGTGAATGCAATTTACATTCACTGAAAAACAATGGTGAGATCATATCGCTCTGATTCATAATGCATAAGAGATACAGATTTGAGTTGTTTTCAAAATATGTAGCTTATATCAAAGCCTACAACATCTTCAAACACTATTTTACGGAATTTTGTTGATGAAAAAAGTTAGAGGCAAATGAATGTAAATGAATGAAGAAATGAATGTAAATGATTTTCCAGCCCTGGTCTCAACCGTAAATTTGAATTACACTGTAGTAGTTTAAATAAAAGCTACACAAAATACACTATGGCTTCAAATTGACACTACAGTAGGTTAAGTACAGACTTAGGTATAAATTAAACTCATCCACGCATATGCGTAGGTACATACTTACGCATATGCTTCTATAATCGTCATAACCCATAACTTACTTTAGAATAAAGCATAAACGAATGTAGTTTTACGTTCATCCAACAGTGAACTTTATGATAATGATGACTTCTTTTTGTACAAAAGCTTAAGCCCTTTTTAAAAGTTGGTCATGAAATATTAGAAAATGTTCTTTAACAATATATTTCGACTATACCAACCGAATATAACTCCAAAAGTTGCAAAATAATTGTTGAAAAAGTTTGTTTCCAAGCCGGCTCTTGTACAATTTGAAATCTCCCATAATAACCGAAAATTTTCAAATCGCTTATATTTCCAATGGGGCAGGCAAACTCTTCAGTACTTGTTATAGTACACTCAAAACTTCATCCAGAGCTGAGAATTAGCCTGGGAATGTGCGAGGCTCGAAAGTTTGTGATCAGAAAAGTTAAATTTTCATTAATTTTCAATTATTTTTTTTTCTATTTTTATTTTTATTTTATTTTTGTCTCCATCAAATTTCCTAATTGATTTTATTTTCGGAACGCTTATTAAATTACCTTTCCAACGATGTATAATGATGTGGTAGTTATATGATAAATAGTGGTTGAAATTTTATTTGAGTAGTAGTGTATTTTTGCGGCAAAATTTGTACTTTTCTTACTCTTTTTTGACTTCGACATCCGATATCTCAGAAACTAAAACAGCTAGAAGCTTGAAACTTTCAGATTCTCTTAGTTGGAATGTTTACTATCGACCAAAAATAACGAAATAAGGATTAGTGAAAGTCGATTTTTTGATTTTTGACCGCCTGATATCTGATAGTGTAGGGGAGCTGGCGGAAAATGCCTAAGGAAGCTCCCCGTTCAATTCACAAAATGGATCATTATTAAAGTGTAAAAGTTGCATCACGGTACTGACAGCCTTTAGATTGACAAAAAAAGATTCCCACGGTTAATAATCAAAACAACTGAGAACCCTCTCTCCGTAAAACTTCTCACCAGTATGATACAACAACCGTGAGATATCGTTTTTTGCTTTTCTCACTCATTCGCAATATCACTAACATCTATCATGTGGTACCATCATATCACCGAGGAAAAATAAAAAGACATATCAGGCATAACATTTGATAACGGCACAAAAGCAT